CCGAGTTGGGACTCAGGCGTGAATCCCCAGTCTCCAATACGGGACAGCCCGTAAGGGTCAGTGGAACCATCCATATCAGGAAATTGTCACGTACCTACACGGCCTCCGTGTGTATGTGTGTGTGTTCGTTCCGGGGCATGCCATGCTCAGTGCGCGTATGTGCATGCTTGTGTACGGAAATGAAGACGTCCGAAGGAGGGGATGATGTGAGGGGCCATATACGAAGGTGGGATTGTGTTCGCCAGAGAGAGAGAGAGAGAGAGAGAGAGAGAGAGAGAGAGAGAGAGAGAAAAAAAAAAAAAAAACATTTGAGTTGTGAGCAGTACGTCGAGTGATCGAATGCATATGGTTGGCGGCTCAGTCTAGGTGCAGTGCACCTACTGTGTGTGCGTGCTAGCTATCCGCGAATGGACATAGCACCGCATGCAAACGTTGGGAAGACATGGGCCGCCAGATAATGAACCAGGACGATTTTTGGGCCCCAATGCAGACGACCACACCATAAACATGCGTTACATGCCTTCGACAGTGTATAATGCCTGAATCAATCATTCTGTCGGGCCGTGGTGTTAAGAGGGGATGCAACTCGGGTGGGGGAAGTACTCATAGCAAGACCAAAGGAGGTGCTGGCAAACTTTTTTTTATTGAACACACAGTTGAACCGATTGATCAGGGGAGTGCCGAATGAAGTTTACTGGATCGATGTTAAAATAGTCCACAGGGTGAGTGTCCTACATGAAGGGGACTTCTGGGTGGCATTTAGGCAAGAGGTACCAATCCAGGACCTCCCCATGGATGCAACTTAGTGAAGATGGAAGATTCCAATGAGGAACGATAAACCAAAATATTGTTACCTCCACATACTGGGCGTTAAGGCATCCTATCGGATGTTGAGGACTAGACTCAACATGAGGGACTGTATAGTTGATCGTTGGGCAAGGCAGTTAAATGTCCCATTAGAAGTCCTGAAACCTATAAAATGATTTAAAGAGGTAAAATCTAAACCAGCCAAGACTGCCTCGCTCCAATGGCAGATCACCCATCGCTGCTTACCCACAAATATATGGCTCATTGACCATACCCATCTGGAGCAGAAAGGGTTGGCCCTCCCCTGGTGTCAAGCCTGCAAGGAAGGTTTTCCCTCTCGAAAGGCCAACGAGACAATAAAACATATTTTCCTGCAGTGCCCAACTTCAATCTTGATGCGGCGTGGATGGGTTCGGAATTGGAACCAGCTGGGCACTAACAAGGATTGACTGTGGGAATGGAGAGTCATCCTAACTGGTCACTGAACCGCTCAAACCTCGACCTTTACGACTAACTTATTTAGGATCGGGAGGGATGCGGTATTATGGATCATATGGCATCGCAGATGCACTCTAGCACTTGAAGATGCCCATGTGGAAAGAGGTGAGATGATGGATATGATTAGAGACATGATGGAAACAACAATCAGAGCCCAATGGAAAAATAATATACATGTAACGAAAACTCTCACAAAAAGATCAGACATTACCCAAAAACTACATGAATTCTACATGGACTGGCTAGGAGGTGAATAGGGAGGATCGATTGCAAAGATTCGATGGGACGGCTGGCACCTGGAAGACGATGATCGGTTCGACACATCGCAGAAAGACTACCGTTTGATCTTCCATGATTGGAGTGCAATTCCCAGCAACATCCCACTCCCCCCTGCCTCTTAATTTCCTGACCTGTTTCCCCTGCCCAATAATGCCTCGGTTGAGTTGAGCTGGTATGGCCGAGCCACAGGGGAACCCCTCCAACAGAGCTTTTAGGGGACCGATCATGATGGATAAGGGTATTGGGAGGAACTGGCAGTCTGCCCCAGTCGCCCCCTTGGTGCAGAACCCGTCTCCCCACCCGTCTCGCACATTAGGCCAGGTAACTGAAGACAGTGAGAAGTTTGGTACCCCAGCATACAAGGGAGAACTAGCTAAGCATGGTTAGTCAGGCGCCCGCTCAAGGCTAGCCGACAATTTAATGATCTCAAAAAAAGGATGAGAATATTGGTTTTCTCCCTTTCTCAGCAACCTGCACAGTTAATCCTCTGGATATCAGTGTAATCAATGCTGGCAGACCTTTGTTGAGTCTTTTTTTTTTTTTATATCCTTCTCAGTTAATCCTCTAGATTCCAGAGTAATCAATGCTGACACTGCCTGACAGACTTTTTCTAGATACTGATTATCTTCTGATGTTTCTGTTTTTTTTCTGAATCGTTCAGTACAAGCAACGTTGGACCCGTTTTCCAGCCAGTGATGCTCCCCACCAATAGATGGAGCCTCTCCCCAGGTTTACCAGCACCACTAGCACAGTAGACACTGCCGGGGGTAGATCCATGGAATGTTCGTTGTCCGGCCAACCTGTGTATCACCCGCGGTCGCGACCGCGGGCCATTTTACCGCCTGCGGTTGAAATCCCGACCGCCCGCGGCTGAGTGCGGGCATGAAACCTCGATAATTTTTTCAGGGCCTACAAATAGGCAAAAAAAAAAAAAGGGTATGTAGATAAAAAAAAGCTCTACACGCCTATGATTTTTAATAAATTTTTGTACGTCTACTGGAAGAGAAAAAAAAAAAAAAAAAAAAAAAAA